GTCCTTGCGTCCTGCATCCTGCGCCCAGAGCCAGGGTCACATGCCTCCACCAGGCTGCTCGCCCGGCCATGGCGCACAGGGGTGGAGACGGCGCTTGCGAGGGCCTGGGCCACCTGCCACACCGGTGAGGGCTGGCGGTGGAGGCGCTGTCCTGAAGATGGGGTGTGGCTGGGGAGAGAAGGCGGAGCAGTGGCAGTGGTGGCAGGAATCTGTGGCTGTCATGGGTCATCTCAGACCCCTGCCTTGCACACTGATTGTCACCGTCGCAGGTGCTGAGGGCAGTTCATCCAAGGAGTGTGCTGGCTTAGGCCATTTAGTGTCGTTGCTCACTGACCAGCTAGGGAGGGAGGCAGCCCGGTGTCCTTGGCAAGGCCACACCACTGATTTCCTGTTTGGGAAGCTCTGGCCCTCCCAGAGAGCCCTGAGGCCAGGCGGTCCGGAGCACTCCGCGGGCGGCCTGGCCGGGCAGCATGGTGGCCTCTAGCTAGGGATGAGTCACACCGGAGCAGCTTACAGGACCCTTAGAAATCAAATCGAGACTTTCCCATCCACACATCTGAGTTAGCGTTGCATTTTTCTTGTGTCCACCCAAGGAATCCTCGGTAATCTAATCATTTTCTTTCTTTATTTTTTATTTTTTTAGGCGAGGCAACCCTTGGTTGACCTCACAGACTGCAAGGATCTTGTCAGCTTACAATCCCTTATATATTTTTTATTTTTTTTACGCCTACAGCACCTGGTCTTCCTAGGCGGTCTCCCATCCAAGTATTAACCAGGGCCTGCTTAGCTTCCGAGATCAGATGGGATCGGGCTTGTTCAGGGCGGCATGGCCGTAGACCCTAATCATTTTCTTTAAATGTCTTCTTTTACTAATTATCCTTCACGAGCCAACTTTATCCTAAGTGGGAAATCCCTGTCACCTGCCATATCGGGAAGCTACCTGTACAGATAACTAAGCGCACAGATGCGATTTGTTAGGCTCTGCTCCAGAGGCACCGAGCGCGAGGCCACCTGTCATCTCGTGTTAAGAGTGAGACGCACACGCGGGCGCCCTGAGGAGGCCAGCGCCAAACCCAGTCTTCCTCCTGGAGCAGCTCACACCGAAAGCGGGTCGGAGGGGGCTCAGTGTTCCGTGATCGACTGTTAGCTCACGATGCGTTCCTGTCTGCTGCTGGGGCTGCCACCCTGGTCCCCCACATTGTCGCACAGAGCGGGGGGAGCCAAGGGCTACCTGAGATTTGTTCTGCTCTGCTGTTAACTTCATCAGCAGTTGTACTGTCTCCATCCAAAGAAACTACCTCTTGGAAGATCTGCCATTATTTCATTTGCCACTAAGAATAAGGCAGAAACTTCGACAGTAAGACACGCCTCAACTTCAGTGATGTAACAGCGTGACAAGCCGCACCTTACCTGTGGATCATGCTGATGTCTCTGAGTGACACATCCTGGGCATTGCGCTAAGGGCTTTGTATTTCTTACCTCGTTTAATCCACACTGAATCCTCACGGGCAGCTGCTATCATTTTATAGAAAGGTTACAGCCATAGTTCTCAGATGGGGCAGTTTTGCCCTCCAGGTGCCACTGAGTGACGTCTGGGGACGTCTGGTCATCACAAGTGGCTGTGCTGCTGGCATCCAGTGGGCGAGGCCAGAGATGCTGCTCCACACCCCGCAGTGCCTAGGACGGCCCCCCACAGAAATGACCTTTCCCCAGTGTTGGCAGTGCCAGTGGGGAGAGACGTTGGGTTAGACACCCACCCTCGTTCCTCTGTGTTTGCCCTAATCGCAGATTAATCCGCGGCCTTTGCAAAAGCCCTCATAAGAAGGACGTTCAGGACTGCAGCCTAGCCTCTGGAGAGCTGGGTATCCCTGGCCACCTTTTTTATGGGGGTGGGGGTCTCGTGTGCTTTTCTCCAGTAATTTAGGCCGAGTTATGCCGCACAGACATCTCGGTGGCGGAGACCCTGTCAATACGGCCTGCACTGGGGCCATGGCTCCTGTGCGGAGGCGCGCAGCCACGAGGCACGGGCAAGGTGATGTGGAAGAGAAGGGAGCGGCTGGCCCAGCCACAGGAGCCTGGGGCTGGCCCCCGCCGAGAGCCCTCCCGTCCTGGGCCAGGTCTCCCATTCTGGTTTTTCCCTCTTCCCCCCAGGGATGCCTTACGGCAGCCGAGAGAACTCCCTCCTCTACTCCGAGATCCCCAAGAAGGTCCGGAAGGAGGCCCTGCTGCTCCTGTCTTGGAAGCAGATGCTGGACCATTTCCAGGTGAGCTGCACCTGTCAGGTCCTGCCTGTGGGCGAGGAAGGTGGGCACGAGTCGCGTCATCAGGCCGCACGCCGTTTCTGTGGGCCCTCAGTTCCCAGGGCCTCGGCCCACCTTGTATCACA